ATCTCCACTTACAAATGAAGGGAAAGATGAGCAGAGAGGTGGGAGGCAGAGGCTGTGGCTCTCTCTCGAGTCTATGCCACTTACTACTCATCTTGTGAGGCAAGGGTAGGTTCAGCTTAGTTGGGAATGAGATGACTGAGTTAGATGCATGAACAACTTCCACTGCCTGAATTCTCCAGAAAAACATTTTCCTGTCTCACACAAGCACAGTTTGTTTACTTCCAGTTCTTTTCTTCTTCTTATCAAACAATGGTTTCCTATTGTCTGCATTGTTGTGAAGCATCCAGAGCATTTATGGAATTCAGTACTACTTCCAAATATGTTTTCCTTTATTTACATTAAAAAAAAATGTTCAATTACAGTTGACATTTTTTAGGTGCTCAATTCTATACTCTGGTTTTTAAAATATATTCTATTGATTATGCTATTACAGTTGTCCCGATTTTCCCCTTCACCCCCCTCCACCTAGTACTGCCTATTCCCTCCAGCAATCCCCGCCGGAATTCATGTTCATGGTTCATGCATATAAGTTCTTTGGCTATTCCATTGTCTATATTGTTCTTATAATCCCCCTGTCTATTTTGTACCTACGAATTTGTGCTTATTAATCCCTGCACCTTTCCCTCATTTTCCCCTTTCCCTTCCCAACTGATAACCTCCAAATGATATTGAAATCTGTGATTCTGTTCCTGTTCTGCTTGTTTGCTTAGTTTGCTATTTGGATTCAATTATTGATAATTGTGAATTTATGGCCATTTTAATGTTCATCATTTTGACCTTCTTTTTCTTATATAATTCCCTTTAGCATTTCATATAATAATTGGTTGGTGATGATGAACTCCTTTAGTTTTACCTTGTCTGGGAAACACTTTATCTGCCCTTCAATTCTAAATAACAGTTTTACTAGATAGAGTAATTTAGGTTGTAGGTCCTTGTTTTTTGTCACTTTGAATACTTCTTGCAAGTCCCTTCTAGCCTGCAAAGTTTCTTTTGCGGAAACAGCTGACAGTCTTATGTGAGCTTCGTGTAGGTAACTCTCTGCTTTTCTCTTGCTGCTTTTAATATTCTCTCTTTGTATTTAACCTTTGGCATTTTAATTATGATGTGTCTTGGTGTGATCCTCTTTGAGTTCATCTTGTTTAGTACTCTCTGTGTTTCCTAGCCTCGTATGCCTACTTCCTTCACCAAATTAAGGAAGTTTTCTTTCATTATTTTTTCAAATAAGTATTCAATATCTTGCTTTCTTCTTCTTTTTCTGGCATCCCTGAGTTGTATGTTGGTACATTTAAATATGTCCCAGAGGTTCCTAAGCCTCTCCTCATTTTTTTAAATTCTTTTTTCTTCCTACTGTTCTGATTGAATGATTTTTCCTTCCTTGTATTCTAAATCATTGATTTGATTCTTATTTCATCCCCTACACTGTTGGTTCCCTGTAGATTTTTCTTTATTCCACTTAATGCAACCTTCATTTCTGCCTGGGTCTTTTTTATGCCATTGAAGTACCCAATGAGTTCCTGGAGCATCCTAATAACCAGTGTTTGAGACTATGTATATGATTGGTTGCTTATCTCTATTTCATTTATTTTTTTTTCTGGAATTTTGCTCTGTTCTTTCATTTCGGCCATAGTTCTTTATCTCCTCATATTGGCAGCCTCCCTGTGTTTGGTTCTGTGTATTAGGTAGAGCTGCTTTGACTCCCTGTCTTAGCCCACCTGCTAAGTTGTATGGGGTGGAGCCTAGGTAATCCCCAGGACGGGGCAACCTGGGTCACCACTCTGTTGCTCTATGTGAGGGAGGACTCGCAGAGGAGACAATGCCACTGCCTGGCCTCTGGAGTTTTGCCAGGGAGGAAGCTGTCTCCCCAGTTGCACTTCACTTTCTCCCCTTATGCTACTGGTGCCCTTCTAGCTGCTGCCCTGGTGCTGAATCCCAGAAGCAGGGGAAGGTTCTGTGTGAGTCTTAAGTGTGTTGTGGGCCTTTTAAGAGGGTGCAGTTTCTTCTGCTGCCCCAACCTCCACTGGTTCTTACAGCTACAAGTTATGGGGACTTATCTTACTGGAGCTGGGACCCTGGGGTGGGTGGTCTGGACTGAGACTGGGATCCCTAGCTCCTAAGGTATCCTTCCCATTTTTTATCTACCACATGTGGCTGTGAGACCACCTGTTCCCATCTCCACACTTCTTTGTGCCTCTCTGCACCTTCTACCTGTCTGGTTAAATGTGACTTCTTTAAACCCTGGCTGTTGGGCTTCCACACAGCTAGACTTACTGACAGCTCTAGGAGAAATTTGTTTTGTGGTCTAGTTGTATTTTTTGTTACAGTTGTGCATGGAGGTGAGGCATGTTTACCTATGCCTCCACCTTGACCAGAAATCTCAATTCTTACAGCTGACATTTAATATTCAGTCTCAACGTGGCTTCTTTTTTATATCCTTATAGTTCTGGTCATCTAGTATTTCAAAGATGGTGGTTCTCTATTTTAGTTGTAATTTTGATGTGATCATCGGAGCAGGTGAGCATAGCATTTACCTACTCTGTCATCTTGACTGGAAGTCTCTAGTGTACTTTCCATTTGCCCAGTGACCTTGTTTTAATTATTGGGCTACTTCAGGTGGTTTTCAAAGAGTGGTACCGATTACTGCCAGCTGTATCCCACAATAATGGATAGGAATAGTTTTTTTAAAAAATTTTATTTATTTTTAGAGAGAGGGGAAGGGAAGGAGAAAGAGAGGAAGAGAAACATTAATGTGTGTTTGCCTCTTGCATGACCTCTACTGGGGACTTGGCCCGCAGCACAGGCACGTGCTCTGACTGGGAATCAAACCAGCGACCTTTTGGTTCACAGGCCAGAACTCAATCCACTGAGCCACACCAGCCAGGGCTGGATAAGAATAGAGTTTTATTTTTTGATGTTATTTTACCATACTTTTGGTAATTCAAAACCTCTCTCAGAAGGGAGTACATAGCTTCCTTGACACTTTGTACTTCAAACAGACAGATTACTTTCTAGCCTGGAAAGTGGCCAAATCTCTAAATTGACATGTTCATCGAATAATAAATTTTACATAAGAGAATGATGCAAGGTGCAAGAGGATTTGATAAAAGAGCTTTTGAACTCTACAAATGATATACAATATTCCCCTTCTTAAGAAATTTTAATGAATTGTTAGATAAAAGACTGTGTGAAAGGTTTTCTGCTCAATTCAGCCTCTCCTACACATTTTGATGAATATATTACTCTGGCAGTATTATCTGCAGTAGGCTAAACAGGAGATAATTCCATATGAAATATTTCAAGTGGTTGAGTTCCCCAGCCCCATCCAAAATATCCTACAAATCTCTAGAGATTCTCTGACTTCCAGATTGGACTGGTAAGTGTGCTTTATGAGTCGGAAGCTATGACTTACTTTTGTGCAGGTTTGTGGTAGCCCCTTTCCTGAGGAGGTTTAGAGCAAATGTGCTTGCTTTTTTATCTGACATCTAGCCAGACCACAGACCCTTTAGATGGAGTTTCAGTGCATTCGTTCAATTTACATAGATCAAATGCTCTCTTCAATGCTACTTAAATCCTTGCACAATGCCTTAAAAGAGGTATAGGGCATAGGTTCTGTGTTAGGAAATGGCATATTCTTTATTTTTCCTCTCTAAATATACTTTTATTTAGAAGCAAATCAAATTTCACAAATTTTGAACAGATTTTCAGGTATTAAAAAGGAGGGAAGTGGTTGGGTCTCTTAGTCTAAGTGTTTGAATAAAACCCCTCAATAGTTTGAATACTAAAGCCATTTTAATAATGTTATCATTTTCATGCAGATGCTGTCTAAATGGACTGTTAGAACTATCCTTTTAAAATGCTAAAAAAAAAAAATTAATCTCTCACTAAAATTCTGTACACTTCTTCCACCTGCCATTGCTTATTTCCCCACAGTTGACGGCCATGGTCCTATGACTGGATGGTTCCATCCCAAGCAAGTAATGATCTTACTGCTTTAAAGCTCTCTATTTAATTTAGTAAATTAGGCCTACTAATTTACTACAGCTCTACTCAGAGGGGTATTTAGAAGATTTATCCTTTAGCAGGAAATGGGTGGTGGTGTCACTGTCTGTAGGTTGGGGAAGCTCTAGAAGAAAAGTTTTGGCCCTGTGCCTTTCGACCTGACACATGTCCCAATTTGCCATGCTACCAAAGCATCAGAGCGGTCAATTACAAACACGCTGTCGTTTCAATCAAGAGTCGGTTTCTGTGTTGAATAATACACTGAAATTATCCATAAATGTCTCCTGCCTTTGAAATAAACTAGGCTTTAATTGAAAATCCTCTGTTTGGTGAGGCCTCAGCTTTTTGAACAAAAGCTTCATGAGTTTCTAAGGGATTCTCTGTTTCCCTGTTTCCTACATGTCTCCCTTCATCCCAGGCTCCTTATTCTGAAAGGAGAATCAGCTGGGTCCCAGGAAGCTTGGAATAAACTGCCAGGACTAGAGGTGCATGTGTGAATTCCTATTCTCACCCCTCACGAGTCACTCACACTAGTTCCCAAAAGAGGGTTGCTCATCCTCTGTGAGCTATCAAATAAATGTGTGGAGGTGGGGTGGCTAGTGTGTGCACATGTTTGTAAGAAAATTGGGTGTGTGGGAGATGGAGTGGCTGATGTGTGCACGTGTGTAAAATCTTTCATAAGGGAATTAGGTGTGGGGGGTGGGTGCATGTGTGCACATGTGTGTGCATGCATGTGTCTGTGTATAAAGCACGTGTGTAAAATCTCTGAACTGAGGCTACCCTTGACTTTTTTGGGGCCCCCTGCACAGGAGATTTAAATGACAGACTTTTATGGGGTATCTGAAGGGAGCTCTTTTCCACTTCTGGTCCCAGAAAAAATGCTTTTCAAGGCTACTCACTGAGAAGGTGCGTTCTAAAGCAGGATTGGTTGGCAACTGCAAATGGCAAGGACGTCCATCCATTTTTCATGAAATTATAATTAGCCTACTGTCTGTCTCCCACAGGCTCAACCTTTGGGAACGAAGACCAGCCGGCCCTGAAGGCAACTCTGCCTTCCAAAGACACTCCCAAGGGAGCCGGCCGGGTAGCCCCTCCAATATCCTCCAGTGTGACAACACCCCGCAGGAGTTTGCTTCCAGCACCAAAATCTGTGTCCACACCTGGTAAGACTTTCTGCCTTGGAGTGCCCTTTCTGCATTAAAATGTGTTTTTTGAAAGTTCCAGTGTACACTATTTATTTAGATGGGATCATAGAAGAGTTTCAAATGGCAAAGTTAATAATAATAACAGCATTGTTTTTAAGGCACATTCGTTTTTCATTTGTTTAAGTTATCACAACTGCCTCTCACTCTTCACCTGAATGGTAACCTATTGAATCACATAGTTTTGAATGGAAAGAATCAAGAATCAAGCTATTTTAGGCCAGGTTGGCATTTGTTCCAGGGAAGGGGGTGCTGACGAAATCGCTGGAAGGACTGTAGGAGCAAACCTAAAAGTGAGCTTCCAAAAGTGAGTCCCAGACCCCCAAGGGGTCCTGCTGCCTCTCCAGGGACCCAGGGATACTGTTCCCCCTGCTGGCTCCAGGCTCGAACCACCAAAGCTAGGATCTTAGGACCAGCAGCTACTATAGAAGGGCTAACCCAGAGCCATGCTTTGCCTGCTGGATCCAGACCAACAAAATGGATGGCCCTGCCCTTCACACCGACGAAGCTGGTGACTGGACGCAGGCAACAGCTGATGTGGACATGTGACAGTGAAGGTGCTTGTCAGTGGAAACTGCTGAAGCAACCCAAGTGTGTCCCTGTACCGCTTGCTCCTCCCAATCTGATCACACACACAGGTGTCTGCTCGCCTGCGGAGATGTCCCAGCGTGTGGTTCTTAGCCTTCCATCCACCCCACCATAGCGAGGCACACTAACAGGAAGGGAGAACGGGTGTTGAGCCTAATTCAATGCAGAACAAGAGCAGTGAAGGTGAGGCGATCATTCAATCATCCTGTTGGTTCCCCTGCCTAGGATAATGGAGACCACACACACTGTGTGAAAACCCAGAGAGAGTGGAATTGAGTTATCAGGCGTGAACTGGGAAAATAAGCAGGAAGTTCATATTAAAGATTTCAAGACTTTCTCTTTTATCTAACTCCAACACCTAAGGCTTCCTTGTATTTCAAAACTATTGTTGTGAAAAGGTAAATTTTATAACTAAAGTTGAGCTTTTCAATTATTCCGGTGTTTTGAATTTCTAATTTAAATGAAATCTAGTTTTTAAAACAAAGGCAGCTTCCACATTTCTCATTTGTTCATCATCAAACTAATTAGAAAATAGAAGGTAGGCATGCAGGGTACAGTTAAATCCGAAATAATTGAATTCCTTGGGACTGTGAGGTGTTTGGGTTATTTTAATTACTTAGGTCATGCCAACCTTGTTTTAACCCTGCTGACTGGAAACATTTCTGAACTGCAATGCTTTGCTTTCTTCCCTTGGTGATTCCAATCCAGTGATGGTGAACTCTTGCCCCTTTGGGTCGCCTGCTCATTACCGTCATCTAGGGTTGTAGATGCCACATGTACCCACAGTCGAACATACCCTGGGAGTCCTCCTTACACTAGATTCCTGATGTGAGCTCTCTATGAGTGACTTTTTTCTGGTTCATTTATTCAGCAAACACCTCAGAGCTCATTCTGAGTCACAGGTGACTTGGGTTAAGAATAAATAGAAATGTCCTTGCCCTGGGGGGGTCTCGCAACAAAGCGAACAGATTTATAAACAAATAATTAGAGTGAGAACAAGATATTTGTAATCTTACCTGCTGGGTTCCAGTTCATTCTAGCAGACCAAGAACTTGTAGTAAGATGGATTGAGAAATGAGTGACCTGAAAAAGCTTACATTAAATAAAAATAGGTTTTGTTTATTGTTTATTTACTTAATCCCTTTCTGTTTTATTTATTTATTTTCTAGTTTATTTTTTATTTAATGACTTTCTAATTTCAGGAAAAATCCAAGGTAGCATGCAGTAAAGAGCCCAGAATAACACAGGTACAAAGATTAAAATCCAAGTAACACAAAAGAGAAAATCCTGACAGAACTGGGCTCGGAGTTTCCTGGCTACAAGGGCAAAGTAAGCAGCACAATCAGGGGAAGAAGAGCATGTCACTTCATCAGAAGAGAGAAGTTTATTTTCTAGCACAAATATTTAAGAATTTAAATCTCTGACTGTAAAAAAAATTATGTTGGCCCACATAATAGACAATAATTTTAATTGTATATTTTTAAAACATCTTTTCTGATACTGAAATAATTAGACATTAGTTTAAAATTTTAGAATAGGGAGAGCCTTTCTGAACATGACACAAAACCTGGAAACGTTTTTTAAAATGATAGATTCAACTAAGCAAAAATTTAAAAATTTCATGAAAGACATAAAAAGATAATCATCTTTTGATAATTATCATCTTTGATAATAATCATCTTTGATAATCATCAAAAAAAACACATCATGGAGGTTGGAAGCATAATAAACTGAGAGAAACATGCTGCAACAAAGTGTTAATATAAAAGCAATTGAAAGAACACTTGAAAATCAATAGAAAAAAATAAAACTTAATTTGAAAAATGGGTCAAGATACAACTGGGTAATTCATCCAGTAGAAGTGCAAAGTGGTCAACGACCATACACATCTGAGGAATCTCTGTGTACCATTCAATATGCTTAGGGATTTGCATACTCCACCTCATTTAATTCTGGAGGAAACCTGGGTTTAGAGAAATTAAGGGAAGCCTCCCACCCAGGGTCATATAGCTTCTGTGTGGCCGAGCAGGCATCCCCACAGGTCTGTCTGACTTGAAACCTGTACACCAGACCCCTGCTAGCACTATGCTACTTAAACGTTTACTCAGATGGAGGCCAGTTAATTATGTTTTATATCATTGTAAATACTTCTTAGAGATGGAGTTCTTTCTAGGACAATGCATATGATTTCCCAGATCCTCTACAGTAATCCCAGTCTATCCATGTCCCTCCTTCCCTGGGTTTCCAGACACAGGTTGAAAACTGTGTTTAAACATGCTTGGAGGTGTAAAATATGACCCAGTCCTATAATATCATCTTCCTGAGTTAATGATTATTGCCTCACTGACATCAATGTGATGACAATGGAAAGTGTTGTGAACTTAATGCTAATAAGCAAAAATAAATATTAAACAAACTACTCATGGCTATATAAAGGGAAGATTCCCGAGAATTTTAGAAATTTAGCCTTGGTTTCTTTTTTTTTTTTTTTAATTTTCATGAAAAGCTTTCCTGTTGTTCACATGTCAAACACAAACTCTCCCTAGTGCATTGATCTATATACATTTACATGAATAGCCAGGCTTTACCTCAAACTGGCTTGTAGTTGTTGTAGCAAATAGGAAAATATTTTCAGATGAAAATATTGATCTAAAGATAGATTACTTCTTGGTCAATATGCACTCTGGTTCTGTCATTTTGACATGATGGATTATAGAAAACAAAATTCCTTTATTCAGCCTAAGGCATAGAAGAATTTCCTGTGGTTATCTGAACCAAAGTGAACAACTGGTGTCGTACTGTTTGGGATCCTGTCCACCTAGGGGAAAAAAAATCCCTGGGAATAGTGAGACTGTTACACTACAGACTACAGAAACTCCACTGTATCATAAATATTAATTTTACTACTTTTAAAGCAAGTTTTTATTTCTGTGTTAAATTCCATAAATATTGGTATTTTGGAGCATATTATAATTTAAAGATACAAGTAATTCATCCACATCATCAACATGGGTTTACTGAGTGCTTTCATGTGCACATGGGCCAGAAAGAGCTGCTCTGACAGATGCCCCTGCCCTCTTCCAGTCTGGCCATGCATCATCTCCCCTGACAAGGCACAACTTAAATCAAGAAATTGAGGGAGAGCTTGCTGACCTAAAATATTCTGTTTTAGGAAACGACAAGACAGGTAAAAGGATCTCTTTAACTGCCACTGGAATCAAGGACCTAAATGGTTAGAGGTGATTCTTAAGGTAGCATGTGATATATGCACCCTTAACGTTATTTGCTCTAAGACCATGTTGTTTTCTTGCTAATGAAAGAGTATAGCACCTATAGTGTGGAAGCCCATGTTGATTCAGGAGTGTGCAGAAACCTCCCAGACCTGCAGGGGGCAAGTTCAAAGCAGTCAGGCTGCCCTGGGCTCTTGGTGTTACTGTGTGGTATAGACTGTGTTCTCCCTGAGGCTGAGTCTCAATTATATTCTCAGCTTCAACTTACTTGTCATTGTGAAGCCAATAGAAGAAACAGGAACAGGTCTGGATAAAGGAGGTTACAGGGAGAGTAGATGTGTTAGAAAGAATCTGTGGGGGAGAAAAAAGAAAGCAATCAATTTGAGATCCATTGCTTTGCATGAGGGCACAGAGACAGAAGAATGTAGTGGGGTCAGTGTATGGGATGTCTGGTAAGAGGAGCCTTGCATTTCACCATTCTGAGAGTCACATTCCTGTTTGCTCTTCTTTCTGGCCAGCAGTGGGGAGGGTCCTAGATCCTTGCAGCCAGGCAGGAAGAACTGTGAATCATAACTGTGACACCAAAGTCAGCTCTCAATCATCCCAGGCAGTGAGGACAGATGAAATTTGAATGGGCATCCACTCAGTCAACAGATATTTACTGAGCACCTTCTTTGATTTGAGCACTGTGCTGGGTACCTGGGGCAATCATGATGAATGGAGACGATGGTAAAACAGGAGGAACACAGAAGTCATATATTTGATGATTTAATTACAGTTATGCTAAGAGCTGTGAAAGGGAAATGAGTGTACAATAAGGCATATCGTGTAGACCCAACATAGCGTGCAGAAAACACACAGGCAGAGACCTGAAGGGTCAGAAGTTGCCAGATAGCAGTGGTGAGGATAGCGTTTCCTGAGGGTGAGCAATGTGAATTCCCTCTTGGTGAACAGTACAGGTCCTAAAGCTCACACCTCCTGCAGTTTTCAGCTAGGGCTGCTGACAATTAGATACCTTTTCAATTTGAAAACATTCCCCTCTCCTCCTTCTGACATTTTTATGGACTAATTTGCAAACTGTAAAGTGGCCAAAAGGCAGACAGCATGAAAAAAATTGCACAGAATCATAGCTGCTCTGTCAGT